TCCTTGTCTTCTTTCTGGCTACCTTTATTTTTTTTTATATCAAGTGAATACAGAGCCCTGTGCCCACTCAGCAGATCCTCTCAGGGTCTTACACAGGAAAGCACTGGTAACCTAATAAGAGATAGATATGAAGACCCTGAACTTAGAAATCATGGAGATGTACATGGAGACTCCTGCCAGGTTCACTAGCTGGTTTTCCTCACACCAGTCTTCTGCCAGAAGTGGTGCATTTATCATTGCTTCACCCAGTGAGGGAGATCCTATTGATACCTGCATGCATAGATGGGAATATGAGAGTCCACAAGACTGAAGGACATGTCCAAAGCCTCTCCATGAAGCAGCCCAAAACCTTGCCCCAAAGCATCACTGTTAGGCACCCTTGTTTGAGTCACATTCTGCTGCCCCTTGTTCCTGTGTGCCCCCCAGATTGGTGCCAGTCAGGTCCTTGGGGAATACTGGTGAGAGTTGAAAGTGAATGAATGAATGGTGTTATCAGGGAGGTTGGGTGCCACAAGGTTGGGAAATATTTTGGAAATGGGGTCAGGCTGGTCAAACTCTCTTGAAATCTGATGTCTGCATGCTGCTTTACTGCAATTCTTTGAATTTTGACTGTAGCAACAAGAGGTGACCATCCTGTAGATGGTTTCCTTGAATTAAGTTCTTGAGCTGCTCGAGCCACAGCAGCCAGAGAGGTGACAATCCTCTGGTCAACAGGAGTGATGGGCTCAGGAGAGAAGGATCCTTCCAAACCAGGAATCATACCCCCAGCCACCTGGCATCAGCCTGGGGATCTTGCAATCCCTGGAAAATTCGTTGTTCTCATGTTGTAGACAGAGGACAGTTTTCCTGGACTCCCCAAGGTGTGGTTCAGGTGTGATCCATCCCACCTCTCTCAGGGAAGCAGGTTGAAGCAGAACCCCAGCATGGGAGCTGCTAACCATGTTCTAGTCCTGCCTCCTTTTTTCCCCCTCTCCTTTTTTTCTCCTCTCTCTTCCTCTCCCCTCCCTTCCCCTCCTCTTCCCTGTCTTTCCCTGCTCTTTCCTTTCCTCTCACTCCTTCCCTTTCATTTCCTTCCCTTTCTTTCCCTCTTCTCCACTCCCTGCCTGCTCCCCCTCCTCCTCTTCCTCCACAGTGCCTGTAGATGTCTAATCTCCCTAGTACTAGAGTGTTGAAAAGGATCTCTCCTCTATAGAATTGACTTTGTTCCTTTGTCACAAATCAGTTGGACAGTTTGTGTGGGTCTGTTTCTATGTCTCCAGTTCACTTCACTGTTCTATGTCCATCCTGCAGCCAATACCCTGAGGTCTTTATTTTTTTCTTCCCCTTCTTGCCGAGGTACAAACCTCACTTTTAGTAAAATTAGTGCCCTATTCAAAGTGTGAGGAGCTACGCACGCATGTCACAGCTGGCAGCACCTCTCCTTTTTTAAATAATAGTCTTGCGTCTTTTTGCTGGTGAGTTGGGGGTTAATGAGAGTTTCTTTTTTCACTAAACATGCAAAGTTTTTGGATGTTTATTGTTTTTTGCAGAGCAAAAAATTTTAGTTTTAGTGAAGTCCAACATCACTTCTTTCTCTCATGAATTATGCCTTCAGGTTACATCTAAGAAGTAAATGAAATTCAAGGGCATGTCGACTTTCTCCTGTGTTATCTTCTAAGGCAGTGGTGAGAACTTATGGCATGTATGCAACAGTGGGCCATTTGTAACACTGAGTGCCCTAGAAGATTTGCCATCTCTGTTCTAGGAGCTTTACAGCTTCCCATTTTGCACTTAGGTCTATCTTTTATTTTCAGCTAATTTTGGGGAGGGATATAAGGTCTCTATCTAAGTTGCTTTGCTTGTGGATGCCCAGTTGTTCCACTCCATTTGACAAAGCCTGTGTGTTCTCCATTGTGCTATCTTTGGTCCTTTGTTGAAGGTAAGTTAACTGTATTTGTGGGCTTATGTACTTTTAGGCTCTCAACTCTCTTCTGTGTGGTCTGTTTTTCTACATTTTCACCACTATTACACTGTGTTGATTACTGTATATTTTTACAAAGTAAAATTATCTTGACCAATCTGTGAAAACATAAAGGTCAAGGAAGTAGCTCAGTGGCATAGTGCCTGTCTTGCAACCTGAGGTCAATTCCAAGTACCAAAAAAAATAAGTTTTAAAACATAGTGACCAGCTGCAGCTCTAGCGGTCCCTGGGGTGAAGGACCATGAGAGGATGAGAAAATACAGAAAAGACAACGTTGGAGTCAGGTGGAGCCCTTACCCGCTTGATGGGAGGAAAGGAACTCCTCAAACACTATCGTATGTTCATTTATATACTCAGAAAGATGAGGTCAATTTCAACCCTGCTGCCTAGTAACCCAGTGCTTGGATTGTATGGGGCTTGGTGCTTTCCTGGGCTGAAGCAGCTTCTTCACACGGCTGTCCCAGGCACTCTTTGTTCTTGGGATGGCCATGCTCTGGCCATGCCCAGCCCTGAACTTGTGGTCAGTTTTCAGCTTCAATGGCTCCCAACATTTAAAACATAAGAATTGTGCATATTGATAAAGTACCACAAGAAATTTTGGTACATGTGTATATCTCAGATGAAGCATATCAATCTCTTCAAATTCTTACCTTTTTTTTGTTGACAAAAACATTCAAACTCCTATCTTCTGGCTTTTACTGAGATTCACAGTACTCAGTTGCTGTCCACAGTCACCCTACCATTGAAAAGCATGTCAGGAGTTCTTCTACTTATTAACTGCAAGTCAGTGCCCACTGACTAAATCCAATTATCTCTGCCCTCCCATCTCCCCTGAGTCTGCAAACACACCTTTACTCTCAAGTCTCCAGTTGGCTTTCTTGCATGATATATTGTGCTGCACTTGCTTTGGAGGACCTTGGCTGACTCTTCTTGAAAGAAGACCAATTTTCTCCACTTTGGCTAAAGCTGGCCCTGTCTCCATGAATTGTTATGTATAGAGTTGGCTATGACATTCCCTTGTACCCTCAATTGGCTTTAAGCAATGCAAATGAGTCTTGCAGAGGTGCTGATGCAAGTCTTTGATGCAAGGTGACAGTTCAGTGTTGCCCTGCCCTGCTTATTTCATTTAATATAATGATTTCCAGGTCAACCTACATTGTCACAAGTATCAGGATTGTATTCTTTCTGTGTTGTACTTTTTTATTTATTCATCAGTTGATGGACATGTAGGCTGCTTCTGTTTCTTGGTTATTGTGAATAGTATTACAATAAACACTGTAGTACAGATGTCTCTTTTATGTACTAATTTCTTTTCCTTTGGCTGTTTATTCAGGAGCAGAATTGCTGGATTATATAGTTATTCTATTTTTAATTTTTTGAGGTGCCTCTATACCACTTTCCATAAAGCTTGTACTAATTTGCCCTCTCATAAGCAGTGTACAAGTGTTCTTTTTCTCCACATTTTCCCCAGCAGTTATCTTTTTTCCTTCTGACAATAGCCATTCTTATTGAGTTGAGGTGCTGTATCACTGTGGTTTTGATTTGCATTTCTCTTGCGATTAAAGAGTTCCATTAGCTGATCTCTCATTCCCTAAAAAAGTCTCTACACTCCCCAAGGATTTCAAGATTTTCCAGACCACTTTCAAGGAAGTATAGGGACTTTTTCTTGTCTTGTTTTCCGATGGTTTCTGCCTCTGCAAATAGAGATCCCCCCTCAGGTGGCTTGAACAGGAGATCTCACCAATTAGGGACATCATTGGACCACACAGAGTAAGCACCACAGGAGATTATCCACATCACCCAATGCCTGAGCCTGGAAGGGCACAGTCTTGCAATCCCCAGGCCCTCTTCTGTCTTCTCACAGCAGAAGCACCCAGGACAGGGAGACTAGGAATGTGTGGTATGCTTACCTGTCGCTCTGCTCATCTGCTCACCAATTCAGCTGTGGGCTCCCTAGGCAGGTACATGAAAGCAGGCAGGCAGATCCCAGGACAGAGAGTGTGCTCAGTTCAACTGCCCCCTTGACCTTGAGCGCAGCCCCTGCACATGAGGACCCACACCAGTGATGTGATGGACTGATGCCTGTGTCTGGTCAAGGCTTCCATCTGCCACTGCTTGTTAGGAATAGAATGGGTAGCCTCAGTCAGAGGAGCTTGCCCTCCTTATAGCCCGGAGGAGTTTTATTCCATAAGTTCTGTGCTCTCCTCAAGGGCCTAAGTGTTCCTCCAGCCTGAGTGTTCTGTGGAGAAATGTGCTGTGTAAACAGGATGGCTGCTTCCGCCTGTCCCTCTCTAGAGCTGAGCCTTGTGGGCCTCTCAGGGATGGAGAGGAAGGTTAGCAGTCCTCACCCCTATAAATGGTGCTGTCTTTCTCTCCACTTCAAGCTGGAGGAGAGATCTAAGCAGCTTGAGGCTCTGAGTGTGGGTGAGCTTAACTCCCAGCCCTGGGTATTTGGGTCAAATCAGGCAGTGAGAGTCAGCCTGAGTGCCGCAGGCCAAAGGGAAGAGAATCTCCCCATCACCGGTGAATTAGCAGAGATACCCCAGCAGCCTGGATTGTGTCTGCTCATCTTTAGGTCCATGATTTCTTAGAAGCCAAAAAAAGGGTACCTGACAATGCTGAAGGACAGATGGAGTGAATGAGAGAACATGTCCCTCCTCCCCAAGGCCTGAGAAGGATGGGTCAGGATTGTCTCTGAAGCACAGTAAAGTAGGCTAAGGTCAGAGGTACAGTGAATTTTCCAGGGTCATTCCGGGAGGCATTAATTCGGTGCAGACCTGAGCCTCTGACTTGCACACTCTTCACTTTGCTCCTTAGCTACCTGAGGTACTTATCACTGCAAACCAGAGGAGGGCATAGGGCTATGTTAGGTGCCTGATGACACTAGGAATTATGTGAGGATAGTTTGGATCTTCCCAGGGCTCCTGTCTGGATCTGCCTGATCCTCAAGCTCTGCCATGTTCTTAAGTACCAACAAGCACAAGGTGGGGGAGAGTTGTGAAAATGCCTCAGACAGATCTGTGGCCTTTCCTTTCTGCAGGAGCAGCAGCTGGAGTGGAAGCCATGTGGTGCTCTCTGGCCCTCATCCTCATCTTGGTGACAGTTTCTGGCATCATGTGCAACAGGACAGACTTTTGTGTTGGAAGCCCTGGTATCCCTGGGACTCCTGGATCCCATGGTTTGCCTGGTAGAGATGGGAGAGATGGTGTGAAAGGAGACCCTGGACCTCCAGGTACTGTGGGGCAGACTTTCAGCTCATCTGAGGAATGGAGACCCATTTTCAGGAGGCCCACCTCTCTAGGGGTCTAGGCTGGGTCCAAGAGTTCAGCTGACATAGGCTTGATGGGAATCTCCTAGGTCTTTTTTCTAGGGCATCCTGAAGAATCTATCTTCAAAGCTCCCAAGGAACAGTAGGTGAGCCATTCCAGTGATGATAGAGGCCCACAAGTCCACAAGTTCATACCCTTTTCCCTCTGCAGGCCCCATGGGTCCCCCTGGAGTAATGCCAGGTTTCCCTGGGTGTAATGGCATGAATGGAATTCCTGGTGCCCCTGGAGAACGTGGAGACAAGGGGGATCCTGGTGAGAGGGGCCCTCCAGGTGAGTAGGAACAGGGAGTAGAGATGAGCAGCAGTGACATGGGCAGAGTGTCATGCAGTCAGCCACGTGGAGGACAGCAAGGACTAGACAAATGGCAGAGGGGCCCAAGGCATATGGTTTAACTGATGTAACAGAATATGTAGTTGAGGAGATAAACAAGAAATATTGGATGAGTGGTCATCATTCATGGCATTACAGGAGTAGGTAGTGGTCCATGCATCATGATGTTGATGGAGAGACACAGCTGTCATGAGGGTAGGGGGGACAGCACTGGGAAGAGAGGAGACCCTTCCTGTGCCTGAAGCTTTGGAAACCTTTCTGAAAGGTATGCAGGGTTGTGGGTCCAGGACTCAGGCTGGAGTCCCACACACAAAAGAACCCCGCAGTTCTGTGTAATCTGGAGGTTCATCAGGAAGGAGTAGAGATTATCAGATCTGGTGGTGGGTAGGGGACAGGGCCCATTCCAGATGCCAGAGTAAGACACAGGTGGGCAAAGCAGGAAAGGAGAGCAGGAAAGGGCTGAGCAGTATTGGGATGTTTTAGAAGATTTAGGCATGCGGAAACATCCCACTTTGTGTGCCCTTATAACGTGGGGCCTGGGCATTGTACTTAGACACTTGATGGACAGAATTTCAGGCTTGCGGCTGACACCAGTTGGCAGCAAGCAGAGATCTTACTGCCTTGGCCCTCATGTAGAGTGGTGGTCTCTCCACAGGGCTTCCAGCTTCTCTAGATGAGGAAATCCAAACCATTTTCCATAATCTTAAACATAAAATCCTGCAGTTGACAGGAGGTAAGGGAATGCCTTGGGGTCTTGTGAGTATGTGGCTTTCATAAGTTCCTGTCCTTTTGGTACCAGCCTCCAGAACTATAGGCCCAATAAATGAGTGTAAACATGTGGGCTTTGGGAGAAATGATGCTGTCCTTTTCTAATGTTTTTGAATGGTCCAGAAGTGACAAATGGACACAGACGTTCTTTCAATCCACATGTTCTGTGCTTAACTAGCTTTTGGTTGAATTCCAGGACATTAAGCTTTTCTGACAATAAGTAACTGTTAAATGAATGGATGAATGATTGGATGGATGTGAGCAGAGAGAAATTTAGAAAACTAGAATTGGAAGAGAAAGGGAAGACAGACACATATGTGCGTGTGTGCACACATGCATGCGTGTGTGCACACACATGCAAGAAAGAGATAGCAATGAAGAGTTTGGAGACAGCTTGGTGGTGGGAACTGGAGGGAACACAATGCATGTAGAGTTGGTGGCTTGACCCAAACTCCTCTGCTCTTAGTCCTCAGCTTGCAGGGGTCCATGCTGGCAGTGGGGGACAAGGTCTTCGCCACTAATGGCCAGTCGGTGGACTTTAATGCCATTAAAGAGACTTGTGCCAGAGCAGGTGGTGATGTTGCTGCCCCAAGGAATTCGGAGGAAAACACAGCCATTTCCAGCATTGTGAAGAAGTATAACATCTACTCTTACCTGGGCCTGACAGAGGGCCACACTCCTGGGGACTTCCACTACTTGGATGGGAGCCCCTTGAACTACACCAACTGGTACCCAGGGGAACCCAGAGGTCGGGGCAAGGAGAAGTGCGCGGAGATGTATTTAGATGGCACATGGAATGACAAGAACTGCCTGCAGTCCCGACTGACCATCTGTGAGTTCTGAGCAGGCCTTGAGGCCAAAGGCTAGCTCAGCTCCTGTCTGAACTCCCATTCTCCATCTTGACAGCTCATTTGGTTTATGAGATGCTAAAATTCCTTTGCAAACAGATTTATTTGTGGCTATTAGAGCTGGATGTATCCTTAGTCTTTTCATTCCCTAGATGGGCCCTGATTGCTCCTTCATACCCAGAAACCCATTTCAAAACTCCCTTGGAGCTCCTGGGTAGTACGTGCTCCCCAGGTTCTGTCTTCAGTGTGAGGCAGAGACCTCCTTCTTCCCATCTCATCTGGTTCCTTCATTTACAGACAGTAATAGTGAGGTCCCAGAATGGAAGAAGCCTCTGAAATTACACACAGGATGTCTTTTTCTGTGTGGTCCCATCAAGATGTAGCAGTCCTGGTTAAACGTAATGGCAGAGTAGAAAGACTTTTGGCAAATTCCAGTCATGAAGTCCTAAGGACATGCACTGTCTGGGGATGACATGGTCTCTGGGAAGTTAGGCAGCCAGGCAGTGCCCAGTGCAGTGATGCTGGAATGCAACCCTAGTAACTGGCAGGTGTGATCCACATCCTTGGGTTCTGGGGTACAAGGTCCTCCTCTTCAGCTGAGCCTGTAGGGAGGGACCCCCTCTACCTCAGACCTGATCCAAGTAACTTCCTGCTGACGGACACATCTCTGCCCACTGCAGACATCAGTGAGGCCCTCACACTTCCAGCCAAATCATGGCCTCTGTTCTCGTCTATCATTAATTCATTCACTCAGCCATTTCATTAAAATCATCTGAGTGCCAGGCCTTAGGCTGTGCCTCAGCATGGGTGCCCTGTGATTTTTGGGAGGCTTTCTTTCTCTGTGCCTGTTTCTGCATTTTTGAAACGGAGATCAGATACTAGTTGCTGTCTAAATATTAACATGATTCTGACTACCAAAATGATGATAACCACTACCACTACTGCAGAGTCACTGTTCCTTGAACATTTGCTGTATGCTAAGCACCTTGGCAAGCACTTTGAGTATTTCTTAATAAACATCATTTACTGTTCACAATGCCATGAATGAGTATTGTTTTCTCTATTTTTTTATATAAGGACTCTGAAGCCTAAAGAGGTGAAATGTCTTCAATATTATTATATCCACAAGTGGCAGAGGCTGGATTCAAATCTGTCTACTTGACCTGAAGTTCATGCTTGTCACTGCCTCACTCTCAAGCCAAGCAGTGATTATTTAAGTGTAATAAATCATCTGTGTTAACATGAGCCTCTGTTGCTTTTGTTTCCAGGAACATCCCATTAATGTATTTCTAAGTCAAATTAGCTCTGGCTCGGAGCCCCTACTTGCAAGAGGAAAGGGAAATTCAGTCTCAGGTTATGCTTTCCTTGTTTTGTGGGAGGCAACCTGAACTCTTCCAGGGGACACAGTGAAGATGGGAGCTATATCTGGAAGGACATATGGACAGCATTGTCAGGGTGTCTCCAGGCCTGAGGTCACACGGTCTGTCTGCGGGTGGTGCTAGCAAGTCTCCCGTCCCCTACTTGGCCACCCGAATGGTTTGGAAGTGGCACTCAGGGTAGAGTCCTCAGACCTGCAGGGAATGAGGCTATGTCTTCTGTCCAAAGGCTGAGGGGTGATGGGACCATGTCCTTTTGTAGGGCAACCACATATGTACCTCATCCAGAAAACTTCATCCTCACCCAGCCTCACACCTTCCAACACATTGTCTCACCTGCATTACTTCTTTTCTTGGGCAGAAGAAAACTCTAGATCAAAACGCAGAAAACATGTTGAGAAGGAAGGGTACTACTTCTCATTTTTTGTATGTGAATGCTATTTTTTAATCTTATCATCCTGCACATGTTACTAGGGTCCAGAATATGAACTATTGAGCCACTGTGCTCAAAGGAAAACAAGAAGGAGAAATACATGTTCTCTGTTTTTAAGGCTAAGCTTTTAAGATTGATGTTTTCCCATTTCTTTTCATGTTCTATTTGCTGTTTTAATTCCATGCTTTAAAATTAATTATTGGTGGTTTGTGAGAAAATCTGCTTTGTATTTTGTTGATCTTATCATACTCAACTATATTTTTAGATTCTCATTTTAACCCCTAATACTTTTAGCATAATTGATCTCTATGTTTTATAAATATGTGATTATATGTACAAACAATGGAAAATTTACCTAGTTCCTTTATGTAGTCACAATTCTTATATTTGGGTGTTTGTCTTTTTATAAGTGCCAGGAGCCCTCTACATCGTTGAAGAAATTCAATGATACAGTAGGTTCTCAATGCATCCTGTGAACCTTTCCTATACTTTACCATTGAAGATACGGCTTGTTCTGGGTTTGAGCAGGTATTGCCTGCCTTTGGACCTGACATTATCTCCGTTCTCTACATCTGCAAAAAGGTGGGCGAGTGAACAGGCCCCTGCCCACCTCTGCTTTGACCTAGCTGCCACTGTGCCCCCACTGGCAATGAATCAGATAAGAGACTGAAGATTGTAATGAGAAAACCTGAGAACAAAACTATGTTTGAACTGTGTTTTAACAACTCCAGGAGCTTTTGACATTGAGAGGTCTGGAAAGAACTCATTATGAAAAATCTAAGATTATATGTTAATTTCAAGGATAGAGGGAGTGTCAAGCTTCAAATTTGTATACATCTGAATTCAGGATTTTAATAAAACATTATAAATTGGTAAATTTCACAATTTTTGATAGTGAATTATCCTTGCATCCCTGGGCTACACCTTTCTTGATGTGATGACTGATATTCTCATCAGTTAATATATGCCAGGGACTGAACTTGCATTAATTCATGTAACATTGTTGATGCTAATCTGCGGCATTACTCTCCCCAGTGATAAATAAGATTAGTATTTAGACCTAGAGGCTGAAGTGATTTGACAAAGATCATGTGGCTGATTTGTAGGCTAAGGAAAGTAGGCGGTGATATTAGTGAGACTAGGCTATTAAGCATCACTGTTGGACTTCAGTAGCCATTTTTAAGTTTATAATTTTTTGCATTTGCAGCTATTTACTTCCCTTCTTTTGGCCTATCTTTATCCTTTTTTATTTGTTTGGTTTGTTTGGAGTCAGAGTTTTGTTGTTTACATTGGCCTTGAACTCACTCTGTGGTGTCTCAGCTTCCTGTGTGCTGAGATTACAGATATGTGCCACCACTCCCGGCTATATGTTCTTACCTACATGTTTCATTAAACATTTTAGTTAAGACCCTTTTTTGGATACAGTCATTTATATGAGAGAGAAAGTACTTCTTTTCTGGAGATTCAATAAAAAGCAACTTAAAGCCACTTGGGGTGATGTGGAGGATAGTTCATAATTTCTTTTGTTTGTTTGTTTTTGGTGATACCAGGAATTGAAATCACAACCTCGCGCTGGTCAAGCTTAATCCACTTAGCTAAATCCCTGATCCATTGGTAATTTTTTTTCTCTTTGTAATTTTCTATTTTATGAAAAAATAAAGCAAAATTTCATAGCAAAATGAAAGAATAACAACAGGTAACACACTGTGCATTCATTATTTTCAGAGTAGTTACTCAGAATAAAAGACATGGAAAAATAATTCTTTCTTACAAAAAATAAACAAACATATTAGCACAAAACTTTCTTTTCATGAATGAAGAGAAACTAGTAATATAAATGAAACAAAGTAGCATATATATTACAATAAAAATTCTGCTTGACCAGTTTTCCCTTTTTTGATAGCTTCCCCCAAAACTTAAAACCATTATATTACAGAGATACATAAATACCCACATTTATAATAATTTGTAATAGCTAGATGTTGGAAACAGCATATGCGTACATCAATAGACAAATGGATAAGAAAATGTGATTTATACAACCACATTATACACAGCAGAGTATTACTCAGGAATAAAGAAAGATAAACTTGAGGAATTTGTATGTAAATGGGAGCAACTTGAGAATACAATGTTAAGTGAAATAAGTCACAAGCTTAAATATTCCATGGTTTTGCTTATATGAGAAACTCAAGTATATGTATATATATACGTATATATGCAAATGAGGAGCAAAATTGAAGATAGATAGATGGGAAGCAGGTAATTCAGATGTCCCTTGAATTACCTGTTCCATTGGTTATTTTTCAATTCCATTTCCATACTTTGTAATCAATGATATATTATTCTTACACTTCTTGGGCCAACTAAATCGCCTTCTAATATCTATATTATCTAGTTTTCAAATATATGCTGTCAAGTGTATATAATGCAATTTTATATTGTTACATCAACATGTAATGGCTTAGATCAATAAACTGCCCCAAAAGTTCTCATGAGCTCATTGTTGGGGCTTTTGGAAGGTGACTGAGTCATGGGGCGTGGGACTAACTTGTTGGTAGGTGGGGTGTGGTCAGGGGAGGTAGTCACTGAAGGCATGAGCTGCAAGGGGCTATCATTTTCCTTTCTGCTTCCTGGCTAATACAACCCGAGCAGCTCTCCTCTGCCCAAGCTGTTCCACCATGCCTTTCCTGTGTTTACCCTGCTGAACATGGGCTGAAGTATCTGAAAGCAAAACTAACCCTCTCCTCCTTTAAATTGCAGATGCTGATATTGCATTTCAGCAATGCGAAAGTGACTCTGACACCATCTATTTGAGTATAATACTCCCTTTCTTTTCTGGTTTGTTTATTTCTTACACATTTTTCTTCAATTGTTGGTAATATGTCATTCAGCTCATGCCAAAGTAAGTCTCTTTCCAGGTGCTGCTGACAGCACATGCTTTATTTCTTGCTCTGAGTTTTCCAGCATGCCAGATGCTAACTGATCTCAGGTTTCCTGGACTCAGTTACCTTGGGCTGGACTCTTGGCTTTCTGGTGCATTTGTGTCTACTCTACATCATGCAATTATCCTGGTGTGACTGGCTGCCAGGGACATAGTCTTCCTATGATTGGGAAAGGAACACAAAAGACTGCACTTATAAGCATGCTTGAGCTTGCTGTGCCCTTCTTATCTGTGCTGGTCATATGGCCAAAACGGATATCCAAGGGACTGGAGTATTTATTCTGCACAGCCCAATGGGAGTATCTGGCAAATACTGTGCAAAGAGCATGCATGTATAATTACATAACAATGAGGAAGTGAGACTGAATTTATGGGTATTTAGCCAAAGAAATAATTTTATTACTGACTCTGTAGTTATTTCCTTATTCTAGGAAATAACTTATTTGTTAATTTAATTTTAATTTCTTAATTATACTTTCTTTTTAAAAGTGCAGCCATCCCTCAGTGTTTAGTGGGGATCAATTTTCATATCACTAAGATACTAAAACTCACTGATGCTCAGATTGCTTATAAAAAGGGACAGTATTTGTATATAACCTTTATACATGTCCTGTAAATTTTAAATCATCTCTAAATTCCTTATAACACTTAACTCTATAGAGGTAGTTGTTATGTCACGTTATTTAGGGAATAATGACAAGAAAAAAGTCTGTGTGTGTTCGGGTCATAACCACCATAGGCATCATTATATTTTGATCTATGTTGTATGGAATCTGCAGATGTGGAACCCACAAATGAGGCGCTGGACTTGTATTACCTGTTGTTTAAGTCCATTGTCCTCGTAGGATTAGTTCTGAGCCTGCTGTTTCTGTCAGCTCTAATTCTGTTTGTCTCCTACAGTGTTTGGTGATTTTTCTACAAAGCAGACATAATTCTTTTAATCTCCTTGAGAAGACCCTGGGGTGTTTGGGTTAAGGGCACGGTCTCTATTGCTTTATGTCGTCACAGTGCACTAGGCTGTGATGAGCTAGGACACTTCAAACACCATTTTCATCTTGGCATAAATAACAAACAGTGGCAATAACAATACCAATGTAAATCCAAACCCTAAATCTTATGCAACTATAGTCCTATGGATCTATATTCCTAAAAAGAGAATCTTTTTTTCCCACTAGATCTCTGTATAACACTTAGGGTCCTGGTTTTGCATGCATGCTTCCATTTCAAATTTCTAGTTTTTTAGGAGATCACCTACTTAATTAATATATGGTTTGAGTGTGCTT